CACCTGAGCAATGCATGTCACTAGTTTCACCATACAGGAGGCGTCTTGAAGCTGTCATTGACAACAAAGGCTTTTGTACAAAGTATGTATTACTTTAAACAATACCTTTTCCCCGTGCCATTCCACATTATTACAAATAACTTCATTTCTGGACATTTATGGTTTGATTTCTTTGTATGTATGGATCACTTGGATTGTTACCAACATCTGGTGAAAATTTCATGTCATTATCTCCTCTAGTAATATATTTACTGAGAAAAATGTTGACGTGTTCATACTTATTCTACCCGCTTTATGTGGTCACAAAGAGACTAGATTTTCAATTCAATTTATATGTCACAAAATTTCCTTCAATATCATGATCTTTTCATTCTTTGCACTGATTATATTAATCATGAACTGATCTCACTGTGTCAGTTTAACTTGAGTACCATTGATTAAGACTGAGAAGAAATGACTGGAATCTGTTTATCAGCAGTCTATCCCACTTGATGGGTGGGAGAATTTCCAGGATTAAAACTGTGCAAAGACGTTGAGACAGAGGTCACAAGCATGACTGATGCTGTGCAATCTGCTGATAAGTCTGTTTGTCCAGAGAAAGTCTGGAGGCCGTCAAAGCAGCCTGGTGGACTCCAGAGTTGTCTGGCCTCCGTAAGGTAGTAATGGTGAAGATACAGATCCCAACCAAGCAAAACCAGGTGGGAACAGTTCATACAGTCCCGCAGTCTCTATAAAAGTGCTCTATGGGAGTGTAACAGATTGTCTTAGACAAAGTTTTGTGAAATTGTTAAAGGGCCTAGTGCCTCTTCTAAACTTTACAAACTTCTTGCAAACTTATAAGTACAGCTGATATTTCGTGTCTAATTCACCAAATTTCAAACAAATTTGGTGACTTTGACATTCTTACACTTGAGTAACCGGTGATGTTTTTACAGACTAAATTAACTATACTCTGATTAAAAGTTATTAAATATTTTTTTCATCCCCCCATGTTAAAAGTAATAACTGTACAAATACCCCTAAAACTGTAAACAGAAAATGGTGTCGATGAATAAGAAACTTTGCCAATTTAATTCCAAGTTATGTTTGTTCTTACCTTACATTAAATTAGAAGCACAAGTGAAAACTACCTATCTGTCTAAAAATCAATGAAAAGATGGTTAACAATCGCTCTTTTCTTATGTGAGGGTCTCTCAGGGCTCAGTTGTAGGTACCCTCCTCTCTTGTTTTTATTTGGTCCTGCTTGAAAACATTTTTAGAAAGCGTTTATTTTTATTGCTACAAAGACAACTGATCGGTTTAAATCCCCCTGAAGAAGTAAAATAACTAATTTTTTAAGCCACTGCATGGAAACTTTTTAAAACTGTATGTCTAGAAACTTGAAGTTGTTGTTTTTCATCTCCATAGATCTAATTTTTTAGTTCATTTTATTGAAGTGTTTTTTATCTATTTTTATGAAATACCTGTTTTTACTTTGGTTTTTTTTTTGTTTGTTTTTTAGATCTTGTGTTTTTTATTGTACTGCAGAGTATTTTGGTATTGTGGTTGTTTAAAGTGTTTTATAAATACAGCTGGTATGGTATGAATATTCTTTCAATGTTAAATGTTCACAAATGTTCTGTGAATCTTCAGAAAATATTGATGTTTAAAACAAGTTTCCAAGATCGTAAACTCTTACAATGTGTGTGTGTGTGCATGTGTTTGCTACCTGATGGGGATGAATTTTGACCATTTTCCTGGTACACACTGGCTGTTGAGGATCCACTGTTCCATATGGGGACAAAAGCCCAGTCCCCATTGGGGAACGCACTGTTGTGGGTCAGGGGTTCGATTTAAGACTAAGGTGTGAATTGAGTTTAGGTTAGGTTTAAGGTAATGGTTAGGGTTAGTGTTAGGCAATATCAATGACCAGTATGTGTGTGTGTGTGTGTGTGTGGACATGTTTTTTCCTAACCATTTTCCTGAAAAATCAGCCTCGTGGGGACTGAACAGCCATTGTAGGGACCAATGCCCAGTCTCCACAGGTATGAATGCAAATTACGGGTGGGGGGTTGGGTTTAGGACCATGGTGTGAATTGAGTTTAGGTTAGTTTTAGGGTCTGGTAGGTACCTGTGAGGTTAATTTTAGGGTAAATGGTCAGGGTTAGGATATAAAATTTCCAAAAAATGAATGRAAGTCAATCCACGGTCCCCACAGGGGTATAAAAACCATATATATGTGTGTAGGGGGGGGGGAGAAGAAATGAAAGTGGAATGCAGTACTACAGTATATGTGTAAGACGTAAGAATTAGATGACTTAAAGATGATATGAACTGAATTCTGCTACATTTGCKCTTGTCTCTCCTCAGACACCCATTGTTCCCGCTGCTGGCACTGCTGTTTGAGAAGTGTGAACAGGCCACGCAGGGATCCGAATGCATCACATCAGCCAGCTTTGATGTAGATATTGAAAACTTTGTCCACCAGCAGGAGCAAGAACATAAGCCCTTCTTTAGTGAAGATCCAGAGCTGGACAACCTGGTAAGTAAAGGGTTGGGACAACATAAGGTAACACTTTATTATAAGGCACACAAAAAACGTTTGACTACTGAGGAACAATGCAATTACACAATAGAACAGGGKTCTGCAACCTTTATGATCAAATGAGCCATTTGTGTTTTGACTCACTAACAAAATGTGTTCGGAGCCACAAAACAAGCTACATCTGTGATTATCAACTGGTGGTCCATGGGCCTTTTTGAGGCCTTTTCGGGAACCTTTACGGTCAGTGGAGGTGACGTTATAAAACTAAGATAAATTTTGTTATTATTATTATATTGCTTATTATTATAAACATCAGGACAAATGAAAAGACCATACTCATGTAGACAAGAAAAATGCTGTAT